AGGAGAGGAAAGAGGAAGAGAGAAAAGAGAGGAAAGAGAGAAAAAAGTTATCCCTAGATTCGGCCAGACCTGTTATTATATTATTAACTTATTGGAAAAGACTTAAGTGGCCTTCTTTAAGTAAGAGGCACTCAAACTAACATAACAGTACACATCAACATTCTCAACAAGTACAAAGACCGAAATACCCCTTCACTAACACCACTAACACAAGAGAACCCCATATTTACTAATATTGCTCCTTCATTCATCCTAATAAAAGACATTTAAAGTTATAAAAACATTTTTATAGGGATTTGCTTGATATGGATTTGTTTGGGCTTGCCTTGAGGGGCTTGGTACAAAGGCGGTTCATAAAATCAAGAATGCATAATGTTTATCATTACATTAGCTATTTGAAGTAATGCAATTAGGAAAAAAAATAAAGAGATTAAGAGTTTACATGCTTGAATATGTTTTATATGTTTGCTTGATTTCGTTTTTAAATTTTCAATTTAAATGTGTTTTACATGTTATGTTTATGTATTTTAATGAGGTAATAAGTTTTTTGAAACATTTATTTTTAAATTTAAGTTTACATTTTTAATTAATATTGTGTCTAATATTTGTTATATTTTGCATTTTTTGAATTTTTTGGCTTCTTTTGAATTTTTACCATCTTTTGCATTTTTGCGCCTTTCTTCAAAAAGGCACTTGCCTTGCCTTGTGCCTCGTTCCTCAAGTGTAAAATGGCCCTTGCACTTTCAAAACACTAGTAATACTTATAGATTTTTAAGGCCCCAGGCAGTGTGATCAAAATTTAGAGAAATTGATGGACTTTCTATGGGAACCAAGGGAAGGGAAGAGGGATCATAAGGTTACCTGGAATAAGTGAGATGAAGTAAACATTGTAGTGGACTTGGAATTGGGGATACTCAAAAGAACATGGCTCTACTGGAAAAATGATTGTGGATATTGCCTCTTGACAAAGATAAGTTGTGGGCAAATGTGGTGTTGAGTATTCAAGGATTCTTGCCTAAAGGTGGAAACCATGGAATGCTAGTATACTGGCTAGGGGCAACTAGAGCTTCTCCTTAGAAAGCCATTCATATGCTTTTTTCTTCCTACCTTTCATTAAGCATGAACCTTGCAATGAGGAACTTGTCAAACTTTGGGAACACACATGGCTGGGAAACTCACCTCTTAAGGAACAATTCCAGTCCCTTTGCATGCTTTCTGGTTACAAAAAATAGCCTTTGTCCACTTTTATTGTTCCCTGTAACTCAAGTTCTAGGATTTACTAGGATCTGGGTTTTTAAGAGGGAGTAAGGGTTGCCGAAAAGAATAGTGTATTAGCCTTACTTCATCAACTAGTTGGGTTTTTCTTGGACCCTTTGAGTTCTGACCACCGGATTTGGACACTCTCTCCCTCTAGCTCCTTTTCTTGTGCTTCTTTCTTCAAGTCCTTAACCCAACCCATTTATTTTGTCAAGCTCTCTTTCCCTTAACCCAACTTTAAGTTTTCTCTCATTAAGAGAGTCTTTTCATCCATTTGTGAAAAATATTCTCATAATCCTCTCAAATTAAAATCATCATCCCAAATTTCTTGCAAAGTTTCATTTTTACCAGTAGCTCAAATTTATTTATCTATATTGATTTATGAAAAAGAATGTTTGAAGTGTACAAGTAAAGAATTCCAAACACCCCATAAGATTTTAGGTTAGCATTACTACCTAACTTCATCATCATCATCATCCAAGCCTTATCCCAACCATATGGGGTTGGCTTTCTACATAACTCGTTGATATCCCTTATTTTAATTCCATTTAGCTTTGTAAATTTCTTTCAATCTCCCTGGGAATGACCCAGCAATACAATTAGGTCATGTTGACTCCTTGTTTTCTTGCAAAGTTTCAATGAGAAATCCCAGCCTTAAACAACTTTGTTCAACTTTCTTTCTTTACTTTTCAGCCCCGTGACGAATTCTACTCTAGCTAAGAATCCAATCAAGAACCCATCTAGACCTAATCAAATCTTCAGCACCCAAAGAGCCCTAAAATCGATTCTAAATCATTCCCTAGCCCATAGTTTTCCTCCTAGACCTAAACCCTATATAGAAATCTTAGCAAGTAGCGTTGAATCCTCAATTTTCTCACCCTAGATTATAACTGCTCCACATCACTATCTGATTTATGTTCTCATCTTTCTAGATCAGGATTCCCTCTCTCATCTGAACCCTATACCCCCCATTTAATCCTGCATCACTAGTTTCATATTTATTCATCCATTTATATGGTGATGGACTAGCATACTGTAAACGTTAAGACAATATTCTAACTAAAGAGATTTCCCAAGCCAAAAAGATTCCATTCGGATCTACTAGAATTATCATGATATCTTTCACTTAATGACTGATCAAATCAATCTATTTGATTCATTGATTTTTAATACAGTGATCTCCTGGGAGGAACCCATTCAAAAGCTGTTCTATGCTACACAGTCAACAAGTATAGTAAAACTATCTTGTCATTCATGTTAGTGGCAACTTTAATTTCCTCAAAATAGAAAAGGAAGAAGAAGAACCTGTGGTTCAGTAAACTTGATACCAGGTCTTGCTGCAAGCCCAGCAAGATCATGCTCCATATACTCAAATACAAGGTACAAGCTGCAGGACATTCGTGAAGTAACTAGACCCTCAAGCTTCATAACATTTGGGTGATCAAGCCTACGCAGAATGTAGATTTCTCTTGCCATGAAACGGACACTTTCAGGATCCATATTAACAAACCGTACTTTCTTCATTGCAACAATTTTTCCAGTTTCAAGATCACGAGCTTTGTATACATGGCTGTAGGTTCCTTGTCCAATCTGCACCAACAGCCAAAGCAAGACACACATGAAAAGTTGATAGAATTCAACTCTAATAATTATTTAGGGTAACCATAAACATGAATATCATATCTAAAAAATCTCACATCAGGTTGATTGTGGCAGAAGTGTAAGTATGGAAGTTGAGCTTGGAAGTCCTTATAATACAGTCATTTCACCAAAAATAGGCAGAAAATTGTTTATGCAGTGCTTTAAAAGTGCAGGGGCTTTTTGTGCCCAAGGCACAAGGTGAAGCATGCACCCCTTTGAAGCAAAGCACAAAATTTTTTAAATCTTTAAAAAAAATAATGCATAAAATACAAAAAAATTGCGAAAATATTCAAAAATTGAAAACACATTAAAAATAATATTAATTAAAAATGCATAATTAAGTTTTAAACTAAATGTTTTAAAAAGCCTATTTGCTCAGATAAAAATATAAACATAACATATAAAACATATTCAAACACTAAACAATTCAAGCAAGTTAAACTTTCATTCTCTTTATTTCTTTCTCAATTGCATTACTTTAATTCTATGAGTGGCTTTATAACAAGCCCCTTGAAGCAAAACCAAATAAGTCCATGCTAGGGTCTTAAATTCTCAATTGATACTTAAAAAGTTGTTTTATAATTTAGTCTTGGTTCATATCTTTGAAAAAAAAAAGTCTTGTATTAGGAAGAATGAATGAACAATATTAGAAAAAAGGGAGTTCTCCATGCTTAAAAAGGTACAAAAAGCGAAAAGTTTAAGAAAGGTGCATGCCTGGGAAGAGGCACCAAGCACACACCTTTTTAAAGGATTGCGCCTAGGCCTAGGCAAGGCACACGCGTTGAAATGTGCCTCCCCTGTGCACCTAGATCCTAAATGCACCTGAGGCACACCATTTCAATCACTAGTTTAATTTGTGAAATTTCAGTTATAATTCTGGCTTCTCATGAGCAAGGATCAAAGTATCGGTATCGAGTATCGTATCGGACAGTTTGGATACGGATACGGATACGGATATGGATACACTTTGGAAACGCATGGATACAGACGAAAGATATGAAAACACGTAGATACACTATAAAAATGATACAAAATTCGTAAATACATCAATTATACTAATTTTAAATGTCAAAATAACCATAAATAAAGCATAAATACATAAAGAAATGTACTACTAATATAACAAGATACATAAATATCTTAAAATTCTGTTGATAATCCAATAATCAAGGGTCCAAGACTCATGTTATATAGTTTTTACAAAGTAAAACATGCACAAAACCATTATTATGTTAAATTCTATAAGTCCAATACACAAAACATATGCAATTATTATATTTTAATTACTATAGCAATTAATTTCTATTTTTACTTTTGAACATTAATAAAAAAGTCAATTAAATATTAAATTTTGAAATGTTTGATAATATCAAAATTACTATCATATGAAATTTATAATTTTTCTAAGATACATATGTTATTATCATATTTTTACTTTTAATCTTAACTAAAAGTATATCAAAATTATAAAAATTTCAAAGATACATATCATATGAAATTCATAATTTTTAATTATTAAAGTAACGCTTCCATTATTACATTTTTATTTTCTATAGTTTTTTTGAAATAACAAATCATTTCTTATATAAATTTAAATTAGTGGATTTGATAAATTCAATTTAATATTATATTCTTGAATTTTTGTAAACAATTTTTTTATTTTTTTTAAATAATAAATATGTTATTTTTGGTCTAAATTAAAATATTAATGAATAAATTATCAACAAATATATAAAATTTGAAGATACATATAATGTGCAAATTTAAGGAATTTAGGTACTAAAATAGTTATCTATTATTAATATTTTTACTTGTATAAATTTATTGAGAATAAAAAACAAATTTTGATATAAATGTAAATTTGATAGATTGTTTACTTCATTAATGTTTATAAAATAGTAATTTTTAATATTATTTTTTTTATTTTAAGATAGAATTGTTGAACATGAACATATAGTATTTGTCTAGGTTCATGTTAATGATAAAGTTAATAAAGTGTACTTTATTTCAATTAATATCACAAGTTGAATGTTGGCATAGTGGCTTAGAGTCTTAGCGCACAACGGCCTAGGTGCACTAAGACTTGAGTTTGAATCTTCATAACAGCGCTTTTTAGATAAGACAATAGATGTGCGCGTCTCAGCCTATATCGGAATGTATTGTATCAGTCGATACAGTGCGATACACACCAATATATACTGATATGGTGTTGATACACACGACTGGGCGTGTATCGTACCATTCGTAGCATATCTCGTATCCGTTCTTATGGTTAAAGCAGTCGAGATTCGAGAAGAAGAAGAGTTTCTCTGAATAACTTACGTGTGTTACTGTTCACACCCTAAAGAGATTCTTTTTAACATTTGAAGAAAATTACAAATGGGTCCTTGAATAAGCGCCCAAATACAAAAAAGGATGAAAGGACATAAATGCCCTTACATTCTCAACACTCCCCCTCAAGCTGAGCATAGATATTTTTCATGCCCAGCATGTTCAAATTGTGATTAGGATCAATTGAAGTTTCAACTGGTTTACAATCCAATTTCCCTACTTCCTGAAGTAAATCAAGAACATATTTCCTCTAAGAAATATAAATGCCCCTCTTTGACCTTGCGACCTCAATCCCTAGGAAATACCAAAGATTTCCAAGATCTTTAATTTCAAATTCAGTAGCAAGAAAAGACTTTAGTAATACAACTCCAAATATATCATTCCCTGTGATAACAATGTCATCAACATATACTATCAACATAGTCACTTTTCCATTCGCTCTCCTGATAAACAAGGTATGGTTAGTTTGAGGTTGAGAAAAGCCAATTTTTAAGATAGTTTTTCTGAATTTGTCAAACCAAGCTCTAGGGGACTGTTTAAGGCCATAAAGGAATTTCTTCAAACAACAAACCTTTCCTTTACTCCTAGGGACGTTCACTCCAGGTGGAAGTTCCATATAAACGTCTTCCTGAAGGTCGCCATTAAGGAATGCATCCATTTGATACAAGGGCCAAGAATAATGGGCAACAAGAGACATGATAACTCGAATTGAGTTCATCTTGGCTACTGGAGCAAAGGTTTCCTCATAATCAATGCCGTAAGATTAAGTGTACCATTTTGCCACAAGTCGAGCTTTATACCTTTCAATTTAGCCATCAGCTTTATGCTTCACTGTGTAAACTCACTTACACCCAATAGAAACATTGCCCACTGGAAGAGAAACAATTTCCCATATCGGATTTTTCTCAAGCTCCTCCATTTCCTAGTTCATAGCATCCTTCCAATGAGGGAACTGCACTGCCTCAATAATACTATGAGGGATAAAAACAGAAGCAATGGAAAAGATATAGGCACAATAAGAGGGAGATAAGGTATTATAAGAGACATAATTTGAGATACAATATTTAGCTCATGTCCTTTTTGCTTTCCGAACCGCAATAGGAAGGTTAAGGTTAGAAACCACACTAAGAGGCTCAGTAAACCCTAGAACCCTGGATGGCATACGGTTTATGAGATAGGTAGCAGTGAGAACAGCATCAYCCCAAAATCTTGTGGGAAYWTGTGAKKYAAAYAAAAGGCTCCTTGCAACTTCAACAATATGCCTATTTTTTCTTTCAGCAACTCCATTCTGTTCAAGGGTTCTAACACAGGAACTTTGATGAATGACTCCCATGTCAGAGAGATACAAGGATAAACTCTTCTCAAAACTCTTTTGCATTGCCAGATCTGAAAATCGTAATTCTGGTATCAAACTGAGTTAAAACAAATTCATGAAATTTCCTCACAAGTCTTGGAACTTCTTCACGAGATTTCATTAGGTATATCCAAGTGAATCTGGAAAAATCATCAATAAACAGGATGAAATATCTATAGCCCCCCATAGAAGATAAGTGGTAAGGCCCCCACACATCAGAGTGCACAATATTAAAAGGAAAAGAGGATCTTTTATTGCTCAAAGGGTAATTGTTTCTACAATGCTTTGATAACT